TTTTTCAGTTGATTCAGTTCTTTTAACTGGTGTATTTAATGCAATATAAGCTGCACAAGACAAGTTTATCACATAAAGCCTGCATAATAAACTGTGGGTGTGGAGTTGAAAAGACATGAGCATTCACGGGCAAGGAGGATATAATGAAAGACGCAACTGAGTTGCATTTTAGGAAGTGTAGGATCTAAAAGTCAGCATATCTCAGCCTCTGCTGCAATTATTTTGACCATAATGTCTCTCTATGACTGTGGGGCAATCATTCAGGAAAAAAGACATACAGCATACAGCTGATCAGAGGCTTTGACATGGAGCTGGACTGTCTCCTTGTGGAGTAAAGATCTGATTTAATGAATGAAGCCAAAATCTGAAGGATTCACAACAGCCCTGGAGGACAGTCTGTCATCTCCAGTCATACCGAGACTATTGGCAGTCTGGGTAAGAGTTGTTGTTACTTATAGTGCTGGACAAGTTTCACACAAGGCAGAATTATCTGGGGGGAAAAATCACTGGCAGGGTTTAAACCGGGAATAACAGGGACACTCCCCCACAACAGCCTCTCTCGGGTTCTCTGTACACCTTCTGTGCCATGACACCATGAGCCCAGAAAAGCTTGATTCAGCCCCACAAAGTCTGTCACATCCAATGTGTGTGCGTGTGCGTGTGTGTGTGTGTGTGTGTGTGTGTGTGTGTGTATGTGTGTGTGTGTGTGTGCAGAGAACATGTACACAGTGACAGGCTCTTCCCCTGTCATCTGCGTCATCGCTGATCACAACCACAGTATCTAGGCAATTTAAAAATACAGGCTTGCATAAACAAATGTATGACAGAAATAGGAGGGAAAGCAGGAGGAGTGGAAGATAAAAATAAGCCAGACTGTTAATGAGGTGATTTGTTATGCGTTATGTGTTGTGTGATTTATTTTTTTTGGTAAATGGACTGAATCTGTCGCAGAGACTGAGGATGTCTTTATGACACACAGACTTGACAAGCCTACTCAAAATGTGCCAACTAACTTGTGTTCGCTCCTTTTGATTGGAGCAGCAGGAGAAAAGATGTAATGGCCTCACATTGTCAGTTTTAATGTACCGTTCTCCATCTGCTGTGGGGAGCTAATAGGTAAACAAATTGTCCCTGAAACAATCAATGAATGGCTCCAAAGGTGATAACACGTAAAGTGAGCTTATTGATGCTCCAGGTTTTGGGTTGCAAACCCAGTTTAAAGGAGCCATTTGTAAGTTTTGCTATTGCTAAATGGTTAACGTTAGCATTACCAGTTGTTTTACTAACCAGTCTAGAAGAAACGCTGTGAGTTCAACATCAAACCTCATTCCTTTGCTCACCAAGAATTGACACCGGTGCCAATGTTAATTCTCGTCTCTAACACGTCTTTTCTTCTACTGAAGTTAGCATGCTAACCAGCTAGCCCCAGCCCTCTCGTCACTATCAGATCCAACATACTGTCGCCTCTGTAGAGAGAGATAGTGCTGCTTCAGGGTTTATTTCATGGTTTTAGGACAGTAACCTTTCATTTCAAACTTGATAGAAAATCGGGCTAAAATTAGAATCAGAAATTAGAATTAGAAAAGAATGATTATTAAACAAAAGAGATGAAATAGAACATTTAAAATGCTGATATGTTTGGCCTTCTCTGAAAGCCTACATAAATACTCACAGAGGTACCTTTACTTTTGATACTTTGCGTACATTGTTTTATACTCCTTAAAAATGTATATTTATGTATTTCTATCTATCTATCTAAATCATGATTACTGTGGGACTTGTAATGAAGCATTTTTACAGTGTGGTGTAGACCGTTTTCAAGACAAGCACACAGGACATGTGTAAATAATAACATGAACAGGATAGCTCTGTTACATTTAACCAGTTCCAGGATCCTTGTTATATGCTCACTCATTGTCATGGTACACTTGGAGTCATTGGAGACGAATGGAGTCATTTTCAATGTTACTATTTACTGTGAAAAGGTTTGTTAGATATTTCAACTTTATGTCAGCAGTTTCTGTTTGGTCCTTTCCTCCCTCAAGCTCTTGTGGCTGAATGGGAGTAAATTCCTCAAGCCAGGTTCCAACATTTTGTGGAAAACCTTCACAGAGAAACGGAGGCTTCTTTTTCTTCCCCTTATCTGAATTGGGGCTCAACAGATAGACGCTGTTTACAGTATGTTGTTCAGATTGTAAAGTCCTCTGAGGCAAATCTGTGATTCTTGCCTATGTAAAAAAAATGACTTGACTTGAATAAAATGTTCAATACTCACATACACTGCAGATGTAATGTTTGATCGTCCACTCACATATAACATACAAACATCTTTCTAACTGTTACTCCCTGTTTTAGTGACTACAGCACACACATTACACATCTTCATTTAGGTTTCACTAATTTTACTTCTTCAAGTTTTTAAAACTGGCGTTAAGAGGGTTTCATGTGTGTGCTTTTAATTCTTATCTAACCCAGGATGAAAAAGGAGAAGCTGTCACCCACATCACGTTTTACTATGGCTTTGAGGCCTTTAAGAACCTGAACAGGCGTTAATTCAAACTGGTTGCAAATATGAACTTGACACACTGAAGCTTCTTTTCTGACACTGACACTGAAACTAAATATCAAATGATTCATTATCTTGTTAACAAAGTCTTGTCAGACCTTTACTGTTCCACCCACATGTTGCCTGATTCACGCATTTCATATCAACCTCATACTGCATTCAATTGCTTGGATGAAGGTGGAAAACTTTGGCATTGATTCATTAGCCTACATTTATATTACATGAGAACCTTAGACTACCATGTAGCTACATTTCAGGTTAAATAAAAGTGCATTTGTAGCCTATAGCCCTGAATCACATGAAAACATCTCAGTGGTACGATTCCCGACCCAGCCTAAGCTGTCAGCTCTGAAGAAAAAAACAAAACAAAACTTAAACACACGGTTTCAGACGGAGAAGTGTTGAGAAAGATAATTGGACTAGTGTTTCAAAAACACACCCAACTCTCAGTTTCTCTGTCCACACAAAAGGTCTTCAGCACTATGTGTGAGTGTGTTTGTGTTTGTGTGTGTGAGTGGGGGTTATGGACAGAGTCACCAACACTTTTTTTGTGGATCAGGACAGATCCTTTGGACATGCTGTGTTTACACCAGTTCAAATGCCAATGTGCCCATGATTCACTTTGACACAGCAGGCTAGTGAGACACTTACACTTACATGTGTAAGTGTGTGTATGTTGTTACATACATTATGCATTTTTCTGCTTATGGATATGGATGGGTGAAGATTGAAGAACTTTTACACACGTGTGCAAGTCCTAAATCAAAAACAATGCAAACACACACACATAGCTGTGCCCAAAGACACACCTTCACAGTGTGAATGTGTCAGTCTGGATACTAAGTAGGTATCGTAGAAGGGGCACCAACAATCTCCAACATTCACACACACTCCCACAGCCTCCCTGAAGATGGAGTCTTGTTGGTGAGCTGGCTGCCTCCCTCAGTTACCCTGGGACCAAAAACAGTGTGAATACACTATGTGCATGCACACACACACACACACACTGTGTCCCGCAGCTACTAATGCCTGCTTGGTGAGCTGTCTGCCTCCCCCAATTACTTCACCGCGGCCAAGAAACAGTGTGACTCCAGACGCGCAACTTATGCCCTGTGCTGCGCGCACAGCTTGGAGTTGCAGATGACCTTCCATGGAGCAGGTTTTGGTGAGTGTGTGTTCACTTGGGAACAGATGATGTGCATCATGGTTGACCTGGCCTTGACACGTGTCACTCAGTAGTGAGTAAAGCCAGCCCACCCCTGCACCAACACCCCTGCCCATACACAAGACCTCCATGTCCCGTCCCATCCCACATCCCACCCGCATGCTGCACCACACCTTCTCCAGCAAACCGTTTGTACTGAAGCCAATGGATAATTAGACTGAAACTGTGATTTATTCGGTCAGATAGGCACATGGTGTCCTTCATCTTCAGTGTCCGCGTTAGTGGTGCACCATGGAGTGAGTTGGCAGCATCTTCATCCAGGGTCCATGCAAGGAAAGGCCATCTTTCTGTCAGAGGATTTTCAGTCAAATAGCCCTGAATCTTATGAATATGAAATGTAAAAATGCATTTGTTGGTGACACATGTAACTAGATGCACAGAATGTTTTGTCCCTCTGAAATTTGCCAGAGGTATGTCATCTCTCCTTTACACAAATTTAACTAGTCCATATGCTGTGTTAGATCATCACCGCTGGGTTTCCCTGTCATGTTTGTGTGTTCTTCTGTATTGTAGGCGGCTCTCGGCTACTTTCCAAACTGGCCTACACCAAATGAGACAGATGATTTTTTGGCTTGAATGCCAAATGAGTTTTCCCACCTCCTGTCCTCCTCCAACCCCCCCTTGTGAGCGCATGTGCCAGGGTGGAACCACACAAAACACAAACACTGTTCATAATAAGCAATAGTCATGCAGTAAATATACTTTTTTTTCTCAAGGAGCTGTTAAGACTGTTGTCACCACAAACCTCCATCCCACTTCCATCCTTCATCAGCAGCCGGCTCCCTCCCACACTGAGCTTTGTCTTAAATGGGAGTTCCTACTATAAGTACATTAAAGGTATTTATCTTTTAAACACTGGAAACTTTTAGGACACTTTTCTCATGTTCAGAAACCAAATTTAAACAATTCTGAAGATGTAATAAACTGTACTATTTTAACTGCCTCAAATAATAAATAAGAAGCCTATTAAGAAACAATTGTACATTTGACAGACAGTAGTGCGTGAAGACAGTGACAAAACCCCCCTGCCACTGCCTTTCTTGTCGCTTCCTGCGGTGACTCTTACCCCTCCTCCCGGGCTGACGTAGAGCGGGTCCTCCGCTGCCCACGGCTGTGGGCGAAGACCAGCCGCGGGTATAAACAGCCTGCCGGGACTCCAGCACGTCACTGCTTGAAGCCGCAGCAACTCGGATCACCAGAGCTGAACCTCAGCAGAGATAGCAGCAAGCAGGCACTTCCACGCCGCGCAGGCTAACTCGCTTTCGGCTTTGGTTCGAGATGGAGACTCGTTGCACCATGAGGAGGTCCAGCGCCCACAACTTCAAGAGTGAGTTTCTCTCTATCTTGCACCAGCAGCTTGAATGCACCGAGTGTTCTTGATTTTGCAAATGCATTTCTGTGATTTGGATGGCTTACTGCAGTTTGTAGTCTATCCCCTGTGCTTTTAGGCACAGTCATTTTTGGTTATATTTTAAATTATATATCAACTTAAACGCCCAGTTAAATTTAAATAGTGTTTTTGTTTTTGTCAGAAATGTGGAGGAATGTCGCTTTGAGTCAGAAGTGCAAGGTTCATGGACGTTTTGGGGCTCGAAACATAAACTCTTACTGGAAAACCAGTTTATCCCTTTATTTGGTCATTTATGTGATCACATCTATAAGGAGAGGTTTTTTTATTATCTGTTTTGGCTTTCCTGTAAAGTTTACCAAAACCTCATTATCTAATCTCTCCATGTCTCTTTTACGCATGGAGAGATGTAAGCTTAATTTATGCGCACATGATGCAAAGCTTTATTTCTCAACTCACGCCGACTTTGGGGTAAATAAGACTTAGGGCGACTCTAGAAAGGTGTCCTGTTCCACCTAAAAGCCCCAACTCCAGCTCCCCCTCAGCGTCCAGCGCGGCTAATGGTTCAACTTGTTAAGAGGTCAAGAGGTGAGCCCCTGGAAAATCTTGCGCGCAGCAGATGAATGGGAACTTCATCATTATTTCATGCATGTACTTTTCTCGCGGTGGCCACCTTTGTGCGCTGTTATCCGAGCTGTGCCAAGAAGCTGTTGCATTATTGAGGAGAACCCGAAACTGATCTGTGTCTGGTTACCTATTTTACGCCTGTCCTCTCTCATGTGCCTCTCAATGGAAACATCCTTTCGGTGTAGATAGCCTGAGAACTAGGAAACCAGGTTAATTTAAGGCAATGAGGCACGTGTGATTCACGTTTTGTCTCTTAAAGCTTGTTTTGTAGATTTCTTTTGTGATTTTTCTATTCTTAATTGCTGAAATTCAGAGGTATGTAATCATGACACAACCGACATTGAGACCTATGTAAAGTGATCAGGTGGATATGAATGGATGAATGTTTTCTGTAATGTAAACTGGTGAATTATATATGAATCCCAAAGCTCTGGGGATCATCAACAAGTCACGGGTGAGAGCACAGCAGTGCTAAAAAGAATCACTGACATCAGCAACAGGTTTGACAGACAGACAGTAATGAAATGCTGATGCCAAAAGCTGAAATCAACCGCTCTTTCTTTGTCTGTCACTCTTTCACACAAACAATGTGTACATTTATCAAACCAGGACTAACTACTGCAACAATGGCCCTTTGCTGCTAACCTGGCCTTCACTTGTGTTCCTTTATTTCTCATTAGAAATAACCACCTCTATCTTTCCCTCCCTCCCTCCAGGTGGACTGTCACTGTGGCTGATTCTGTGGCTGGTGGTGGTGAAGCCGGGCGGGGTGGGCGCATGCCCCAGGTTGTGTGTGTGTTACCCCACGCCCATGACGGTCAGCTGCCAGTCCCAGAACCTCACCATAGTGCCGGCCGGTGTGCCCTACGACTCACAACGTGTTTTCCTGCAGAACAACCGCATCACAGAGCTTCGGGCAGACTCTTTTGGCTTCGAGACTCAGGTAAAAATGACAATGTGTGAATGTGTGTGCCTCTGCTGAATTCCCCTCCAGAATATGAAGATACTGTGAACACTCTTTTATTTGTCCTCTCACAACCTGATTTCTTTCTCTTCATTCTGTACAGGTGCTGTGGCTGTATGGCAACAATATCACATGGATCGAGGCCGGTGCCTTCAGTAACCTCCGAGTGCTGGAGGAGCTGGATCTCGGTGATAACCCTTCGCTGCGGCACCTGGAAGGTGGAGCATTCAGGGGGCTGGAGAAGCTGCAGAGCCTGCACATGCACCGCTGCAAGCTGGCTGCTCTCCCCCATGACCTCTTCCACAAGCTGTACAGCCTGCAGTTTCTCTACCTGCAGGTAAAGCCAGCATTTACACATATACCTAAAAACATAGAAACAGATAGTCATGCATGAGAATGCACACTTGATGCTTGCTGGAACACACACTTGTGTTGCAGCATTGATGTTTAAACGCATTAGTCCCCGTACAGTTTCCAACATGCAGGCTGCACACCCACTCACACACCAACACATTTATACTGCACATGTTTAATTGTAGGTTCAGTGAGTTGCGCACAGCATGCAGTCACCAAAATGCAAACTGAGTACATATTAAAGCACCCAGAAGATCTAGAATGAAAGCAACATACTATATAGCTCTGCAGAAACAATTAGCAGTATTGAGCAGTGCCAAAACAAAACTGAAATTTCTGTCACCATCATATTATTAAACAAGCACAACAGATTGCTCTCAGGTGACTGCAGGGAAGAAATTACACAGAAAGATTAGTGTTAGCAAAGTGAGCGTCTGCCAAATCCTCCATGTAGATATTCTGTAAATGAGTGTAAATTACATGAAAAATTAGTGAGCTCACACATTTCCTCTCAACAGCAGTTGTAGCTGCAAGCCAGATGAAACAAAATCAAACCAAACTCTAAGAACAAGAAATAAAAAGTACTCAACTTAACTCAACTTTATGTATAAAGCTCTTCAAAACCAGCACAGTAGAACCAAATAACTTTGAAGCACAAAGAGTAGAAAAAAATAATGTGTAATCTACTCTTTTGCCACACACTGTCATTGTCAATGTTTAGCTTTTCTGGCAGTCATTTCAGTATACTCTGAAAATTAAAATGCCAAGATTTTTCATTATCATTCAGTGCGTTTTTTTTGAGAGTTGTTGTCAGCATTTTGGCGGCGGGCTGTGAGTTCTCAGCTGTTGGAGTGCCTTTGAATCTAATCAGATAACGAGTCCCTGCCAAAATGCCTTGTCAGGGAATGAAAAAACCCTCTCACATTCAGTTTGGTTCCAGGTCACTTCCGATCACTTTCAAATAGGACATTCCTCAAGTGTGTATATATTCCCCATATGTGGTACTTTCAGAGGAAGTAAGGGACTTTGTCTATCCTGTCACAGCTGATTTCTAAAAGGGAAAGTACATGTGACATACAGTTTATGACCAAGAGCTTCTAATCAGTTCTAGATTTATGGCTTAATTAAGATTGAGCATTTATTGTATGACTCAAAAGAGATATTTTTCTTAAAGGCAGTTTTTGGCAAGAACTAAACCCAACAGCTGTAGTTGTCCCACTTGCTTTTACAAAGCACTAAATTTTCTTGTATTTTGACTTTGCTCTAGGAGAATCAGCTCCACTTTCTGCAGGATGACCTGTTCTCAGACCTGGTAAACCTCACTCATCTCTTCCTGCATGGAAACCGCATCCGCGCCCTCTCTGAGAATGTGTTCAGAGGCCTGGTCAACCTGGACCGCCTCCTCATCCATGACAACCGCATCAGGCAGGTCAACCGCCGCGCTTTCCGCGACCTGGGCCGTCTGACCATCCTTTACCTGTTCAACAACTCCCTGGCCGAGCTGCCAGGCCAGACCATGAAAGACGTCCAGGGCATCCAGTTCCTCCGCCTGAATGGTAACCCCTGGTCCTGCGGCTGTGAGGCTCGTCCCCTCTGGGAGTGGTTCCGCAAGGCCCGCATTTCCTCCTCCGAGCTCATGTGCACTTCCCCATCCCAACGTCGTGGCCAGGACCTCAGATTCCTCAGGGAGCTGGACTTCGCCCTCTGCCCTCTGCCTGACCCCGGCTCTCTGGCTGGATCCACCACAACCACCTTCAGCACCAAGACCCGTTGGTGGTTCTCCAAGCACAAGCCTGCATCTTCATCCAAGACCTTGTACCAGAAGAACACAGAGACAGTGAAGGCCTTCCCCTTCTCTGCCGTCAAGCCCCAGTACCTCCCCAAAACCCCCGTCGAATCCTTCTCCTCCAAGTATGAACTGTCGGAGGATGAGGTGGCACTCCCCAAGCTGGAACCAGAAGAATACTGGGCCAATTACGGTAACGAAGACTCCTCCATCCGCTGCTTCGAGCTGGAGTGTCCGCCAGGCTACGACAACCCAGCCTTCCCCTCATCCTCCTTCTCACCCATCACTCCATCCCTCCTCCACCTCCTCTCCTTCTCCATAGTCACATTCTCCCTTCATTTCCTTTTCGGCTGAACTCTTCTCTCCTCCGCACCCTTTTCCTCCTCTGATTTCTGCCCCTGCTCTTTCCAACTCTAACAAAAACCTGGATCTTGATTCCTTTCAGTTACCTCCTCGAAGTGCAGGGGGTGTTTACGCTGAGACAGGAGACAGGCAAGGCAGCAGGGAGCTGTTTCAAAGAGCCCAGATCAGTTGAGCTGATGTAGAGCAGGACAGGATTTCAATTTTGAAGTAGCTGCTGCCTACCAGTACAGGCTTTTAAAAAGCAGGGATTAAATCATGAAAACTGGCTCTGATGCACACAGTACAAAGGCAGAAGCCTACAACAGGATCATGGAATGATAGAGATACTACACAGAGTGCTGGTGGGGTCTCCACATGTTTTTTTTACACCACAGCTGTAAACAACGCAGGCGTTGCAATTCATCAACAGCTATTTTCTATAACAACTATCGCTCACCATCCAATCACTGCTAACACTATCCCTCACTAATTTACTTTCATCATGAATAAAAGTGGAGAGTAATAGATTATATGGCTCCACACGAGGTACAAGCAAGAGGTGGATCAACACAGATAATGAGAGACAAAATCAATACAGTGTGAGAAGAGTGAGCTTTAGATATTTATCTAAAAGCAGAAAAGGATGAGAGGATCAGGGAGATTCTGCAGCCAAGAGCAGCTCTCCTCTCCTTCACATTCAAAATCTTGTTCCTAGAGATGCCAGCAAACCACCACCACCACCACCCACACTTGTACATACCACACATCGTCCCTGTACATACACCCATCACACGTTGCTCTGTATTTTAGACTATCTGGATTTGTACTTTAATTTTAGTACTTTTTAGTAAACGGCAGCTTTTGGTGATAAAGGATCCTTAGATTGTAAATGGAAGGCAAATAAATCGAACTCCTTTTCGGCCCTAGTGTTTTCTAGCCTCTTCCTCTCTCACAAAGACCAAAAAACTTGTTCTCAATTTCCCAGACTGATGTTAAAATTAAAAAAAATGCAGTAAGGTTAAACATATCAGAGCTCACTTTCAGCATGAGCAGAGAAATAGATGTTCATAACCAAAAAAAAAGGGAAGGGGAGGGTTGTTCTCCTGGTTTAGACTGTTTTGTGTGTGTTTTTCGGTTTTTGTTGTGGTTTTGTGTGAGTGAAAGTGGACTGCTGTGGACGTAAGAGACCAAAGTCCTGAGGAGACCAGTTTGTTGAGGTCTCTTAATTAAATGAGTGCCGGGGTATTTGTGTGTCCGATTTAACCCTTAAAAATGTGTCCTTGCTCTGTGTGTGTGTATGTGTGTGTGTGTGTGTGTGCTATGTGTGTGTGTGTGTGTGTGTGTGTGTGTGTGTGTGTGTGGACCCAAAACTGTTTCACAACCAAGTGTATATTTTCAATAATGCATGGGAATATGAGTCTGTGTATCAGTTTTTCTTCTTTTTTTTTTTTTTTTTTTTTACTATTTTACTATTCTGAACCCATTTGATAAATCCAAGGTTCTCATGTGAATTGAATGACATACAGTATATCCGTACTTTATGCTTACAGATCACAACAATCAAACTGTCATAAGTAAAACCATCCATCTCCCATATTAAAGCTGTGTTAGAGAACCTCTCTGATTCCAGTTTGTGTTTTTGCAAAATAGGATGGGTGTTTACTCCTCAATCTGTTCAACGCAATGCCAATCCGGATTGTGGTCTGCATTATTCATTCAGGCCATATGTTTCAATCTGAACCAACCTGAATCATAACTGTGAGTTTCTGCATAGAACATGAAAGATACTGTGACGCTGTGAGATTCTGTATTTTTCAATAGAGGAACTTGTTAGGACAGTGCTTTGCTTTATTAAAAAAATAAAGAAACAATCAAACACAAGTGAGTGGGAGTTTTTTTGTTGTTTCATGCGGTCTTTGTTTGCTAAGGATGCCACAAAGGAAAATACAAAATGGGCAACAGTTAGCTGCCACACAAGCACAGTCACAATGTATATAGACAAGAATAGGTGGAAGAAACCTTTACAGTGACAACATTGATTGGTTTGAGTATCAAAGCATAAAACTGACAACAGTCTAGTGTTGCAAAAATGTATTCACCAAGTCTTGAATCAATAGCTTATTTAAACTTTTACACAAGAATGTTTTACAATTTTGCTCTAAAATCACAGTGAAATAAGGGACTCGAGGATGAATGTGGTCCCTTTCATCAGAGGTCTGATAAGTCTATTATATCGACATCTGATAGCTTCAAGATTTTTGTACAAATAAGGGCAGGACTGCCAGGAAATTGTTAATAAAGAGCATCACGTCATAGTGTTCCTGTCAAACCCATTAAAAAAGGGAGGTGTGTGTGTGTGTGTTTGTGTGTGCACGTGCATACGCAAATGTGTGAAGTGTAAAGAAATCCATGTGACAGTGTGAGCGTGTGTGGAGAAGGTGACCAATCTCAAATGTGTTCACTTCCTTCCCCGCCCCATTTCCTTTTCTCACCATGTGCAGAAGGCAGCTATATCGGGCTGTATTATACAGAAAGATGGGTGAACAAGCTGTTGAGGTGTGTGTGTGTGTGTAGGGGTTCTGGGATGCGGGTGTATGTGATTCAGGGATGGGGCAGAATGGGGAAGACGCCAGGATGAAAATGTGACAATGTGTCCAGTGATCAGCACACCCCCTCAACAGACTAACTCTCACCATTATGATGATGATGATGATGATGATGATGCACACACTCATACATGTGTTTACAAGTGCAATGACACATACACATCCATGCACAAGTACACACTGGAGCGGCCTGTATCGCCTCACATCTGATCACTTCTTCACAAATTATTTGTTAATTTCACACCTTACTTTGCTCTCACTTTTCCTTCTTCCTCTTTTCTCCCTTTTATTTTTCTCCTCTCTGCGACAAAAACTCGCCCCCACTCCTTTCAGTTCCAGAACTTTCTTTTCCATGCACATTTTGAACTCAAAGGACCTTAAGGTGCACTTGCACTGAGACAACATACTTACTGTTTTGTCAGTTTGATTTGTTTTGAGTAGTTTGGGCTGTATAAATTGCACTATTGCCCAAGGCAAATTTTTGTAATCCTGTTGCTCAGGCAGAGGAGGAGACGCTGCATGGTCAAAACGTCTGAGGAGTTTTACTATTATGATAAATAAAATCATACAGTGGTATTGCTCGCATATTGATGTTTAACTGATTCATACAGAGACAGAGACCAATGAAAGAAAAACAAAAAGAAAGTGTTTGTACTTAGAACATTGGCAAATCAGATGTCTTAAACATCTGGAGCCTTTTTGAGGATTTGCGTGTTGCCAGAAAGCTAACTTTTTTCCCAAAAGACTGTGGTAAACACATCAGCAGGTTTAGTCTTTTCCTGGGCGTTATTTGTGGTCAGAAACAAATAAAATATCATTACTGTTATCCTAAATTTTCAAAGAACAATTAAATAATTCAAGCTTTCAATGAGCAGTTATATGCCGTCAGCGACCAAGTGTGTCGCGTGTTTTTGGTAAAGTCGTTTCACTCCACCTTCCAGCATTTGTGTTTTGTCTGCACATGGCTCCAGATAACATAAAACGTGAACTAATATTTGACATTATGGCTTATAGAGTGGTAAAAATTCAAATTAAAACAGCTTTGGAAGAAGTGAGGTTATATTATGTAAAAAGAAATTCACTGTGGGTCACAATTTCACAGAACTGCAGAGATGGCAGTAACGGGTGGTGTTGACATCCCCCCTCAGCTTTTTGTACCCAGGTTAACCACCTCAAGAAATGTACATCAAAAACTTAAATCGTGACTAATGTGATAACCTTTCCCACATTTCAGTTGCTTTTTCTTGGCAGCACTGTAGGCGTCTGCCCTCTATGCCTGAAAGCAGCTGCCTGGGTGGTCATGGGACATGTTTACTGTTTTTCCGGTGCAAGAACACAACCAAGACATTAGCAGAGAGAATTTCTCTGAAGTCGTCAGACTTTGATGATGTGCGCTTATCACACACTGTGCCCACTCATTCCCCCCAACTCCTCATCCTATTTTTCTTGCCTCTCTTTTATGTGTTTGCCTGCCTTTCATATGCTGTCACTCAGTCTTTGTCTGAACCCCTATCAATCCAGCTCTTCTCTCTCTCTCCCTGTCACGCAGTCCTTCCCACATGGTTATGCTTGTCTTGGCCAAGCCTGCGTGTTGGCTCCAACGTGTTCGTTGACGTTCACCTTCACACATGTCTTATTTGCAGAGGACGAACTGAGACTCACACCCTGACGTCAGAGGGCTCAGGAAGGAAATGAAGAGGCTGAGGGAGACTTTCAGAAGGGTGAAACGAACTCATTCACTGCTACTGCATGCTGAGTGTTTACCCTGAGAAAGAACACAACAGACTAATTATCTTTTCTTGACATTAAAGAACATAACAGGTTCATAACTAAAGTCTGATAATGCGGCACTGCAGTCAACATGACAACTGACCTATCACATCTATAATTGATGAACATCATTTGTAGCACTGCTGCACTGACCTGCTCCCATTGTCCAGCACATGGAAACATGAGCCTGTGGGGCAGTGAACATCTGCTCCTGATAGCGCACCGAACAGAAGAGGAAGGAAAAATAGTGAGGCAAAACACAGAGATGAGGAGATTCTTGGACTATATGAATAAATCATTTTGAGTGGAAACACTGACAATTTTCACAGAAACAGCAGGACTTTGCCATGAGTTCACCCACTGAGCCCATCGCTTGTGAGCATGTGTGTGTGTGTGTGTGTGTGTGTGTGTGTGTGTGTGTGTGTGTGTGTGTGCATGTGCATGTGTGTCACTGAATGAAGTGCTACCAAAAAGGTGAGAAGGGCATTACTGGGAAACCTCCAAAAACATACAAGACTTTACTGGAAACAACTCTTCATCATCATTGAGCCTCATGTATGTATTGTGTTTGTGCAAACGCAAAAAGCAGCTCCTGCAGAAACAGTGACCACATGAGTAAAGTAAAGGTCTATATGGCAAATGAAGAACTGACTCTTCCAACTGTGAACTTGTAACTGGAATATGGATAATATAACTCATGAGCTGAACTAAGTATTCATGCAGTTAACTCACACTTTGAAGGCAGTGGGGGATGTATTATTTACGTTGAACCTGTGATTGTCTGTGTTTTTGTGCAAAATAAGAAGGTGCTTAACAGATCCACAGCAGAATTATCAAACAGACATTAGAATTCACCTTTATCAGCTAAAGAATCAGGTGATAAGGCGCTGTAGCTGCAAACGTACAAAAAAGATCTGAATTTATGAATGAAAAATCTGCCTTCTGTTGTTGCTCCTCTCGTTGCTGGTTTGTACGCACAGAAATGTCTGAATGAGTGTTGGTGAGCATTAATGTGTGCACTGATCATGGGACCACAGCCAGGAGCTCTGTGCATCCGGTCTTGAGTCAGTTGGAAGTAAAAGAGGAGAGTGGGGTGAAGGAAGGGCACATCTGTTTGATGGTCTGTCTGCTCCAATGAAGGTTTACGCACACGGCTAAAAATACACTGCAACAGACTGCAAATACAGATTGGGATATAAAGAGACAGTAGAGATTCGATGGAGGAAACAGTGAATGAAAGATTTAATCATATGACAATGACAACATGAGTAAAAGTGACTGCATAGTCAAGATGAAGTGTGTGTCTTGAGTTTGCTGTTAACACGAGAACAAAAGAACAGTGATTAGATGGGCGCTTATGAGTCAGTCACACCGCCTCGCTCTGGGAGGTTGTATAGCCCATATTTGTTGGCACAGACGCAACTTGTGACGTCTTTTAGATAATTTCTTTAAGTGCCCAAAAATGTGACTGCCACATCCTCTGTGGACACGAGGATTTGCTAATGCTATTCCGGTAACACCATATTTGCTCTTGACTCTGGAGTACTCAAACAGATCGGTCTGTTGCTCTGCAGGGTTTTCTCTCACTTTCTCCTTGTTTGTCTTGGATGCTGTCTTTCAGCCATCTCATACATTTGGGGGACCTGCCTTCATCTGCCCCATTGTTTACAGAGGGCATTATAGAGATCTTCTGTTGAAAGTACCAGAAGGGAGGATTAATCTCAAAGTGTATCTTGGGTTTGGCTCAATGGGATGACACAGATATGAGACCAAAAATGTCTGGCTCCCACAAGTCTGCCAAATGTCGAAACACAAGTCTTCTGTTTTAAAAGTTGTCTCTTTACTCTGAAAACATATTTTAAATGTGTTACATTACATGTAACATTTTATATCATCAAATGTATTGAGATGCCATTACTGTAAACATAAGAAAAACCATACACAAATCCATTGGTGACCTCCATCTTAAAACTCCTTTATCAAGTTCATTCCTCACTTCAGTCTGTGAATTTAACATCAACTGATTCTGTTTGCATCATGATGGAACAGGAGGTCGGATAACATTACATGCATGACGCTCTGAGAACAACAGAGGACCAAGAAGAGGCTTTAAGAGCAGAAACAAAGTCTCTGGTCAAGCACACAAAAGGATACAAAAGGATACAAAGAAAAGTATAAAAAAAAAACACTTGCCTATAAAGTTGTGATCAATTGTGATGCTTCTATTGGCATCCTTGTTTAAAAGGTGAGCAGGGAAGATGTCTGATCTTGAAATCAGGCATGAAAGGTTAACAAAAAACAAACAAAAATCTAAAATCAAAAATGAAGCCAGACCTTATGATTGGCTGTTTCTTTAGCAAGAGTTTAAAACCTATAAGCAATACTGAACGATTTTTAAGGAACTGTTTATCGAGAGTTTGAAAATGTACCAAGTTCAGAATGTACAGAAAGAGAATAAATGGCCTGTTCTCCAAAGACCCATTCAGAGTGTACTCCTGGGTGCAAAACTTATCACATTATTCACATTTGGAGTTGTTCTTGTTGCTTTTTCCCCCTCATTTTGTTAAAAGCGCAACCCACAATCCATACACTAGTTTTTCCACACACCAAAATTCAAAACTCAAAAGTCTTGGGCTATTATTCCCAGATTGATTGAGATATTTTATTATATCATGATAATGTAGTCATACATACAACACCTAAATTTGTGTTTGCTAATATTGTACACAACACAGTGTGTAAGAAAACATCATAACATTTCACAAATGATAAGAAAAAACTGAAGACACAAAACACAACAGCGACAGCAACAAAACAACAAACAATTTTGTTGTTGCAACTTGATGAATGTTCTAAATAGTCAGAATGTATAATTATGTTTGTCTATGCAAGTAACACATAAAATGTTTCAGAAGAAACCTTTCTAATAACAATGGTTTCGTCCGTCATACTGAAAACCCCTTCGCTGAATATATTGGTACAGTCCCACTCCCCACACGCGCCAAAGTTTTGTTGCAGTGATGGCGTCTAAAGCAGGTAGGTGTGTGTTGTGCATGTTTACTGTGAACAAAATCATGGACCGTCGAATAATTATATCAGCGTAATTGACAGCTACAGTATAGAGGTGTGATGTGTCTTCTTTCCATTTGATATACAGGTTCAGTGAATTGTCCTTCTTGTTTCAAGCGGCTGTCCTCTCGTGTTTTGGTTAGACTGCTGCCATGGAGTCATGTTAGCTTAATGGCTAACAGTTGAACATCCAAACTGGCTAGATTTAATGATAACATATTCACATCAGAGATTTAAATCCCTGCAAGTGTTTGATACCTTTGGTCGGCTGAAATCAATGGCTGCTTGTCTTCTTTTACAATAATCCCTTTAATTAGACCTATTGAAAGTGTTACCTATGTTATGATGAGTGATGACAAACGAACAGCAACGTGTTATTCAGGTCGTCGAGGGACGAAGCGTAAAGCTGAGGTGGCAGCAGAAGAGGCGAAACCGTCCGTGGAGGAGAAGAAGGACAGAGGAGACGGGGAGAGCGGCCAGGAAGGGCAAAGGGTGGTCATTGAACACTGGTGAATAATATCACATCATACCTTGCAATGGAATAAGTTCTCAGATAAATAACTTTAGTTGACCACTTCACCACAAGTTAAAGTTATACATTCACAATTTTCAAAACTACCTAAACATAAAGGCATTACTTCGAATTTCCTCTTCAATTACTGAATTTGTAACTCATGATACTGTCAAGTGTATAAGCAGCCTTTCAATGTAAATTGGCAAGCTGATGTTAATTAACTAACTGGTTCATGTGCTGTTGTGTAGTGCGATCGTAATGCATAATTATAAGATGATCATATATTTTGCATGGCAAAATACCTACACTATACACACACCTTTGTATTACTTACATGCTCAAACTTGCAAGGAGATGTGCTTTACTACAGTAGGTTCCAACCTTTAGAACCTGACATGCCCCACAGCCCTTTTTTAAATTGGAGCATCTAAAGTACCCTGTCATAGCAATACTTAAATAGATGCAATACACTCCTGGTTTGGGATCAGTGCCATGCAGGTGCTTTTGTGGTGGGCAGGGGAGAACTGGGAAGTGTAATGTTACATGGTAATAATGTAATGGTTGTGAACCACTGCACAGTGACATCCTGAAGCTCAGGCAATGAAGTGATTCTGAAGAATAGTCATTAAATACATAGACTATTCCCCAAAAAATGAAGCAAAGTAAATGGATAAAATGGTAATATTCAAGTACCTCACAACTCAAACACAGCACTTAAGTAAATATATATAGTAATCCTCCAGCCAGACACCTCATGGATAACTTTAGTAGACTGTGTAGATGTCAACCTGATGGTTTATGTTATTTCCTGCAGTAAGAGCTGACGAGTGTATAGGCGTAATGCTGAGGAGGTCAAATCTGCTCTCCTAGCTGCCCACCCTGGACTGACTGTGGTCCTCAACCCTGAGAAACCCCGCAGGAAAAGCTTCGAGATCACTCTGCTGGATGGAGGCAAAGGTGAGGAGGACCAAAAAGGGGAAATCCAAGAATAAGTCAGCCATGTGGTGTCGCTGTGGGAAGGCCATCATTCTCAGCCATATGTCACTGTCTCCATTTTTGGACTTTTACCCATCTGTAGTGGCTATTAAATGTTAATTTCACCATGAAATATTCACCTCGGAGATGGATGCTAGTGGTGGTGAATGGTATTTCATTTGGTGTACATAGCATTGAAAAATATGACTAAACAATGTGTCTTGCTAGAGGCATTGCAGCAATTACTTGGGATGATCACAGACCTTGTTTTGGACATTTGTCAAATGGTAACTGTTGTGAGGAACAGTTACCATTTAAACAATTTATAGCAAGGCCTGTGATCGTCCTGAGTAAACTGGGACATGGTGGGTGGAATGAAAAATAAGGACATGGGATATTTCAGAAGGAAAGTTATATACTGGCATGTGTTGTGAACTCAAACTTAAGAATTAGCCGGATATGAATAAAACACATTCTCCAAGCATTCAGTAAAGCCACAACACAAAATTGTATTTCATCCAAAAGTTTAAAAGGTTTCACACCAGCTGTAAATTGGAGACGTTAACTTAAGAAGTGAAGAAAGTACAAAACTTGTACTTGGCCAGAGTCAGTGTCTCTTCTGGCTCATTAATCCCTGCTCGAACAGTAAACAGGAAGCTATGTTTACCAGCAGTAGCCACTGGAGACAAAGTGCTTACAAACGATACGCCCATGTCTAATTAGGCACAATGTGCCAAATGTTTCTTGTGTTAATATACATGATGATCATTTTGCTCTTATGAAAGAGGTTGGTACACCACTTGCTCCTCACTTTTTTAACGCCTTATTTTGGAAACATCTTAAATTGTCTTGTAAGCATTTGATTTTACTGCTATCCTCTTGATGTCTCACTTATTTTCTATATTGTTCCTATGAATTACACTGTTCTCTTATGTCTCATCCCTAAAGAAACATCTCTGTGGACTGGAATAAAGAAGGGTCCACCTGCTAAGCTGAAGTTTCCTCAACCTGATGTTGTAGTTACTGCTCTACAGGAAGCTCTGAAGGCTGAGTAGACGCCCAGTGAAGGTTTGTTTCAAAGCTGTCTGACAGAACACCTAAAATTGAGAACACATGAGATAGGCAAAAGCTTGGCAATCAAGATTGGAAAGTATTGCACACTTACACTTTTATTTAACTCAGCTGTAATACAGATAGAAATGCACAGTAGTACACATAGTGGAGGTAAAAGGTTTCTGCTTTCAAATTAGGTTGCCAAACAAGAATTTAACAAAGATGTATACATGTATATTTTTGTGGAAAAAAACAAAACAAAACATGATAAACTTTTTCGTTTTTGAAAGTATAAGTTGAGATGTGATGTTTTTAAAAGGAAGTTTGACATAATCTGTCAGAAAACAATTGAAGTTTTTAAAATATGAAAGAGTTTAAAGTTTTGTGCTAAATATATATTTGAAAATTTTAAGGCTTTAAAAGTTGGCTTTCTCAATTTACACTTGAAATGCTGAAATGGCAGCCTTAAACATAAACACATTTACTCATTGCATTTTACTTTTTACCAGCATCTTCTAAGATACTCTGTAAGCAGTTGGTGCTGTTGAGTATTTGTCTTGATTCACTGTCCCATTATTTATATTTCCACACCCCACCCCCACCCCCCCAGACCCATGTTTCACAACCTAAACTTGGATTTCCTTTCATATCTTACCAGTTTGAGTCACCAGGCTAGAGAAGATGTTAACTGTTTGATATTCAAGCTTATTACTGTCAACCTTCAGCCATTAGACTATATCCAACAGACTTACTTCGACAGGCAGGCTAACTGGTGTAGACTCATCCTGTAAAATGAAATGAGCAGGTCTGAAAATGAAATGCTGTCAACAGTTGGCTAGTTTAATCCTAATTTCTGCACGTGTGTGATCAAGTTTTAATAACTCACATGATCAAAGTTATTCAATTCAGTCAAAACTACTTTACTTACCTTCATATTGTGTCAACTGCTGTTGGTTGAGACTGATGGCCTCCTAGGTAACTCAGGCTTTTGTTAGGAGTACCTAAGCACTCTATAAAGAGTGGTGTGTTGGGAATATTTATATTTTAGAGTTTAACAATAAATATCTTGCCTTACATGCAGCCAGGAGTTCAGGAGATGTGGCTGTGGAAGCAGAATGATGAGGAGTGACCAAGGAGATGCTCTCAGTCTCTCCTCTGATGATCCAAGCTCCAGCAGCTCATCTTCTGGGTACATGGTGACACCTAGTGGGGCCTCTCTGAGCCAACACATTTCTCAGACGCACAATTTTGCTGTTGTTTTTAAGTGTTTTCTCAGCAGTCACTGTGCTTTTTACATATGTTTTTGGTAAATAAAGTTTTTCTTTTTTCTTAATTGTTGTGTTGTTTTTTTTAGACTTTATTTCTATAGTTTCGAGAATTATATTGTTGAGGTTTGGAGAGGAGCCACAACAACATCTCAGAGAATTTTTGCTGTAGTGAGTTGGATTGATACAACCATGAATGTATTCTGATAAGTCAGTTACAACATTAAATGCATATCTTAATTTTAACTCTTACACTCAGAAATGAATTCCTCGAGAGAACTGTATTTGTATTTAATTAGTATTTGTCAAATTCAAAATGTATAAATTTTGGTTCGAAACATACATAAATACAAAAGTAAGTACATTGCAACTCAGAATTCAGAGTAATCCTAAATAGTTGGTTACAGCAATTAAACTCTTGAGTATTAATGAGAAAATATTAGGTGTGACACATCTGTACTATTCCCCTGTGATAAGGTCCAGTACAGCAAAGAAGGTTTTGCAGAAGCTTCAGATAATCGAAAATCGAGCGACTTGTCTGGTCCTGAAATGTCCATTCAGACAAGATTAAGGAAATGTATTCTGGCCTCTCCGGGTTGATGGTGGAGGAGAGACTGGTGTTAAATCTGTTAACATTTTTCTGGTGAAGGTGTGCTCTTAAACTAGGGATAAGGTAAGGCTCTTCCTCAATCTGAAAACTACAGAAAACAGTGACTTTCGGGTGGCCATCAGTGAAATACTTTACCATCATTTATTAGAGAATCTCTCAATATGGTTGCTTTTGAAAAATTGATGAAGACATTTTTAATGTTGCATTTATAGACTTGGGACTGTAATGATGAGTGTGTTCTGTATACGGTTTTTGGAGACTGGGTAGATTGCAGTGTGTATGCTGCTGCACTGTGTGAGGTTTTATTTTAAATACATAAATATAAGTATTATAAATGTAATCTCATCATCTGTTTCATGAATGTTTTAGCTACTTTTTCGCTATAGAAGAGTATATGTTCCACAGCTATTTGGATCCCGTTAGATGTGTAACACCTACTCTTCTTTACACACATATATATGTATGTGAAAGCTGTATTTCATTCTGAATATATAACGTAGTGTATCCAATTTCAATGGGATCAAAGCTTCAAGATAAGACTTGTGACTATATCACGACAAATTTGTGTTACTGTTAGATGAAACTATTTTCACCTTAAAAGATCAGGAAACGGCAACAAAAGTAGTTTTGGATAATCATAGTATTCTTTTTCTAAAATTTATTTCCAACGTTTTGTTTGAGCTTCAAATTATTTTTCTTATCAACTGAAGTAAACGATGGAAGAACTGGTTGCTAGCAAATGGTTGCTAAGGACGTGACTTCATCATCACGTGATCTACCACAGCACTGGTTCCTCATGACTTGAGAACGTACTTTGTTTCTACAATAAGGCTTGGAATTAGTACGTAAGTACTATATATTAAAAACAATAAACTCATAAACATGTACTGTAAAATACGGGGGTAGTTTATACTGATATTCGGAGCGTTTGTAGGCAGGCACCCCGCCTTTGCTGCTGAAATTAGTAAGGCTAAGTTAGCCACGGCCTGCTAACTGCTAGCTTGCTGGTGTGTTTGCCTGCAAGTGACTGAAAAATAACTTACTGTAGCGAGGGCTCTATACAAGAGCGCACTGTCTCTGGTAGGTTGAGAGCAGGTACCTGGTTACATTAATTAAATATTTTCGGTTCTTTGCCTGTAGGTATGATTAAGTAAACATACATTCATTTTTTAATATAACATTCATATGCCACATGTCCACTTGTTTGAAAATATCAGTAATCTTTCTTTATAGCCCCAGTTTGTGCTTCTCATGTATCAGTAACATGCACTAATTAGGGCTACTTTCTTTTATAACTTTCTTTTATAACTCTCAGGTACTGTATTATATGAGAATGTTGTAAATTAATTGTTTGTGATCCACACCATGCTTGCCTCCTTTTTTGCCACGCATCTGTCAATATTCTTATCATTTTTCTAAAGTCAGTAATTACTCATAGAAAAATATATTCATACACAATGAAAAGGGTCTTTAATTGCATCCCTTTAAGTACTGCAGTATTTGAGACATTGCAACAAGAGACATTTATTGTGTTGTTGTAGTATTGTTTATGCATGGAGGGCTGCAACAAACTTATCTTTTTTAATTTGCAGATTATTTTCTCAATCAACAAATTGTTTAGTCTTTAAAATGTAAATAGTGAAAAATGCCAAATTTCCCTGCAGCATAAGGAGATCTATTGAAAATTGTTTATTTTATTCGACCAACAGTCCAAAACGCAAAGATTATAATCAAAGAAAAGCAACAATTCGTCACATTCAAGAAGCTGGGACCAGCAAATGTTTGGCTTTCTTGCTTGAAAAACTACTAAAGTTTATTGATTATCAAGATAGTTGCCATTTAATTTTCTATCAATCAATCTTTTACTTTTCTTTTATCATAAAATTATCATAACACATTTACTCAGTGCTTGGTGGTTGTTTTTACCAGCATCTCCTAAAATACTTTGTAAGCAGTTGGTGCTGTTGAGTATTTGTCTTGATTCACATTTTCCTTATGTTTATTTTGCCACCCCTGTCCTTACCTTGTTTTATTTTATTTTAATTTTAAAGTAAATATCCAGACAACAGTCACTAAAAATCTGCCTTTCTTGAAATGTTAGTGCTCCAGTACTTTTTATTTCATTAACAAAACATGAACAAACCAGAAGAAAAAAATGAAACGGTAATTGTAATTGAATTTACTCAAACGTGTTCTTACAGCAGTGTGCATGTAACTTTGTCCTTTGTGTATGCTGTTGTTGTCAGATATTTGTAACCCAGACTTTCTCTTATCAGTCATGGCAACAGAGGGTGTGGAAAAGACGAGTGAAGATGTTCCAGCAGCTGGGAAGGTCAGCACCAGGTTCGACCTGGAGAAGGAGACTGAACTTCGGTTTGAGGTGGAGGCAGGAGAGGCAGCAGAGCAAGTTGAGCTGGAGCTCCTCACAGGAATGGCTGAGGTGTTTGGCTCAGAGCTGAACCGCAACAAGAAGTACACATTTGGAGCAGGCTCTAAAATTGCAGTTTTCACCTGGCAAGGTTGCAGTGTGAATCTTTATGGGAAACCAGAGGTGAGCACCTGGAGGAGGGTATATGTAATTTTGTGAACGTTTCCATGGGGGTTTCTGCTCTGAATACCATAATATTTTCATTTACCGGTGGCATACAGCATAGTATCACATTTAACCTGGTAGGACTTGTGTTTGACATTTAATGAATGAGAGGCTCAAATAACCAGTTTTTCCTCCCTCATCACCACAGGTGGCTTATGTGTCCAAGGACACTCCCATGCTGCTCTACCTGAACACACACGCTGCCCTGGAACAGATGAGAAAACAAGCAGAGCGGGACAATGAGAGGGGGCCAAGGGTAGGTTTCAGATAAAGAACTACTGTTTTCAGGGGTCTCTATGTAAGATTGTCACATCCTAGAAAATGAATTTTGCATTAACACTGAGTAATAAATCATCCCTCAGGTGATGGTGGTGGGACCTACAGATGTGGGGAAGTCCACAGTGTGCCGGCTTCTATTAAGCTATGCTGTAAGGGTGGGCAGGAGGCCAACACTGGTGGAACTGGATGTTGGACAGAGTGGGGTAAGATGAATTGGAGTTATCATAATCAACATAAACCCAAGCTATGGAAATTGGTAGAATAACACCAGCTGATATTTTAACTGTCTTGCATCATAACAAGGAGAATAATCATCTTAAATTCATGCAGAGTGAAACTACTGCATTGAATGTATCTGTTTTATAGATTAGTTATAATGTTCCACCTTTTGGTCAAGAGAGATATAGCAGATTTAGAACCATAGCATGGCAAAGGCATTACACTTTCTTAGTTCACTCCATTTTAATGGCAGTGAAAATTATAAAGGATGTAGTAGCCTATCTTATATCATCTATAATATTTACATCCAATTATGTGCTTTCAAGCCATTGTCATGAATGTCATAAGACAAAGATTTCTGGACAAGACTGACAAGACTGACAATCCTAACATAACTAATGACAATCAAATTTCTATAGGATGAAAGTTTTAAAAAACTTAACTACTTAATTTCCACTTGACATTTGGAAGTGGATTGCTGAATACAGAGTTCCAATAAGAGTATTTATTCATGTATCATCCTCCTCACTGGTTACGAAGAATGAAACACAGCAGAGAGAAGATTTGTTTTACCGATGTAGTGGGACACAGTAATTTTTCATTTCCTTTGTTCATGTGAAACAGCAGTACTGCACTAGCTGTATTGTGTTAATTACAATAGTATTAATGTATATGTATATATGTTAATGTTTAATTTTCTGGGTCTTTTTTGTTTTTTGTTTTTCACCTGCACCCTTAAATTTCAGTTTTGGTTTTCTGCTCTTGCTTTGTAAAAGTGCCACAGGCATTAAGTGAACATCCATTATACAGATCTTATCAATATAAGTTATAAGGAACTCATTCTGCTACTTCAGGTGTCTGTACCCGGGACAGTGTCTGCACTGTGCATTGAGCGTCCGGCAGACGTGGAGGAGGGTTTCTCAGTCCAGGCTCCTTTGGTCTATCACTTTGGCTCTACTACCCCAGGGACCAACATCAAACTTTACAACAAGGTGAGAAGAAGAAAATTATGGACATTTTGTAACATAACAATATGAAGCCGAAAACCCACTGTCAAATTACAGAGATGTTCTGCACTGTCATTTTTCCCTACCTACTTAGTCTGCTCTTTTTTCATGACTTGTAGCTGACGTCATGCTTGGCCGAGGTGTTTTCCCAGCGCTGTGAGGTGAACAGGAAGGCCAGCGTGGGAGGCTGTATCATCAACACTTGCGGCTGGGTGAAGGGCTCTGGATATCAGGCACTGGTCCACTGTGCCTCTGCTTTTCAAGTGGATGTTGTGCTGGTGCTGGACCATGAGAGGCTCTACAATGAACTCAAACGAGACCTCCCTCACTTTGTGCGGGTTGTGCTCCTACCCAAATCTGGGGGTGTGGTGGAGCGCTCCAAGGAGTGCCGGCGGGATGCGCGGGATGAGAAGATCCGCGAGTATTTCTACGGCTTCCGTGGGGTGTCCTTCTACCCTTTTTCCTTTGAAGTGCGTTTCTCAGACGTTCGCATCTATAAGATAGGGGCACCATCCATCCCAGACTCATGCCTGCCACTGGGAATGTCTCAGGATGACACACAGCTAAAGCTGGTGCCTGTGACACCAGGGAGGGACCTCACGTATCATGTGCTGAGTGTGAGCAGTGCTGAGGACGGAGAGGAAGGTGCTAGAAAGGGTATAGTGGAGAGTCCTGTGTGTGGCTTCATTGTGGTGACTTATGTAGACACGCAAACACAGGTGATGAAAGTGCTGTCCCCAGCGCCCAGACCACTGCCAAGGCACACTCTGCTTATCATGGACATCCGCTTCATGGACATGAAATGAAGTAACACTTCAGGAAAGTCTGACTCGGTCTGAAAGGAAACAGGGCTCACGTTAGGGAGGAGTTCTGCTGAGAAGATATTTGTACCAGAGGAGCTGGAATTTGTTTCCTAGTTGTCTTGTTTGTGCTTTGTACAGACTACAGAGGGCAGAGAGAAATATTTACAGAACGAAATTCGTTGCTCTGTAAATTACACCCCATTTTATAGACAACACTGTACAGATGTTTGGGCAATTTGTGGCAAAGGATTTTTTATCAGTGGGGGAATTATTTTCTTGATAATTTGTTTTAAAAACATTGTTTTTTTTTCATAAGTAATAAATTTTTAAATGGAAAAAGTTCTGTGTTTTGTATTAACTACACTAAGTGCCATGGTTAGCATGTTTTCCTATCCTGCATATGCACTGTGTATCAGTTCGAATTTATTTGCCTATGTCCATTACCTAATGGGCTGGTTATGAAAAACAGAAAAACATTTGTGTCTGAGTATTTAAATACAGGCAGTATTCATAAGGTCTGTTTACACAAGTGTAGGGCAAAGCTTGTTTTCTGCATTAATTGGTCATAAAATGTGATGTGATCTTCATTTAAGTCCCAAATGTAGACACAGTGTCCCTAAGATGAAATCACACAAACAATTATAATCTTTTGTGTCTTTATTGAACACACCCATTAAAAAAACCCAGTACTGGTAGAAAAAGTAACTTAACTCTTGGATTTGATAACTGGGTGGCAGCTCAGACGAGCTCTACCAGTAGCTGCTGATCACAATGCACAATGTTCAGGAGGAATTTTGGACCATTTTTCGTATAGAACTGCCTTAGCTTCAGCAGGTGGACAGCCACCCTGACATCCTGTAAGATAACTTGATAAACTTGGGAATTAATTTCTCCTTCAGTGATGTTGAGCTGTCCAGGCCCAGGGGCAGCAAAGCTCCACGTCATGATGCTCCCTGCACCCTACTTCACCTTTGGGATGATGTTTTCATGTTAGTGTGCAGTGCCCTTTTTACACCAAACAATTCGACCCTCGTCTCATCGGTCCATAAAAACATTTCCCAGTAGTGTTGTGGAGTGTTAAGCTGCTCTTTGGCAAACTTCAGATATGTATGTGAAGTTTTTTTGGAGAGCATGGTGTTCATGGCAGGACACCACGCTCAATGCAGCCATGTACTATGACTTTTTGTGTATAGTAGACTCATCATCAAGATATTAACCAGCTCCAATGTTCCTTTAAGCCTTTAGCTCTTACTGTTACTCAGTTCTCAATTACCCCACTTCAAGGGAGAGTAGTGACAAAACTAACTAATCTCCATTAAGACAGTTTATGTAACTGGACTGTTGAATATCTAAGCTCTTTGAGATGACTTTGTAATCCTTTCAGTTTTATCCAAATCAACAATTCTTTATAGTAAGTGTTCTTAGATCTCTCTTTTGCAAGGTGTTTTTCACATCATCAGATGTCTCTTGTTAATATCAAACTCAAAATATGTCTTTTTTTAAGTCAAAGTAGCTCTAACACACACACCTCCAGTCTTGTTCATTGATTGGACTCCTGGTTTGATAAATCTCGACTCCAATTAGCTTCTGTTAATGCCATTAGCCGAGAGGTTCATATACTTTTTCCAGCCTAAACTGCGAATGTTTGAATGTGTTATCAATATGGACAAGAATAATACATTAACCTGTGTGTTATGTTAAAATAGATTGTGTTTGTTCACATTTGGGATGAGAATCTGACCATGTTTTAGGAGAAATTTATACATAAATGGTGGTCATTCCAAACAGTTCACTTACTTTTTCTTGCCACTGTAGTACTGTACTTTCATTTTACAAATTAAGATTTTACAAACACAACATGTGATTATCCTATAAAATATGATGCATTGTAAGATACAATAGTTAAAATTTTGCTCACCCTGTAAGTATTTAAATGCTGCTTAATGCATGAGTTATAAAAATCTAATAATATGTATGATAGATGTAATTCTTAATGGTGCTATTTTGTATATTGAGTACTTTTACTTTTGATACTTTTGCTATTAATACTTAATACGTACTTTAAATTGAATGCAGAAACTTTTACTTAGTAATAGAGCATTTTTATACTTTGGTACAGGAGCTTTTACTTCAGTTAAAGTAAGTTATTCTCAAATCTTCCACCACTACAAAGGACACTAAACAGACATACCAGTATGTCTGCGAACAAGAACACGACAACGTGAACTCATTTGTTTGTTCTGTCAACACCTGCCAGCTCATACAGGAGCTCATCAGATATATATTCTGTTTTAATGTATCACATCATTAAAATCGTTTTTTTTTTCTTAATATGAACAATGTAAGTGGACACAACTTGCCAGCATAAAGCACTGTGTGATAGCCAGTGTGTGCTTGTATCTCAAATGAAACAGTTGCATATATAACATGGTATTTACATAAATGTATATTTTTATTTATTTATTTTTTTCTGGTATTTGTCTGGTAATATGTTTTTCTTTTGCTGAAGCTGCTTTATTAGATGAATTTGTCTGTCTAGATTGTCATATTTAGCATGGTTTCTTTACTCCTGTTTTCTGTGTTTCTCTAAATATTAGCTTTAGTCGGCAGGATGCTGCTTCGTGTGGGTGGGTCTGTTGTCTGTTGTGGGGGTTTTAAGTTGACCATCTGTGATATGTGGAGAAAACTTCACAAAGAAAAGAAGTTTTATCAAGCTGTACTATAACTCTTGCCAAAAAGGAATGCTAAACACTAACTTTCACTTGGAGTTTTCAAAGTTTTTAAAGGTTTTTCTGTACAGGTCTACTGAAAGGCACATTGGAGGAAGAATATGATTTATTTTTATGTTTCAATGTGAGTAATTCGGTTTCATTTTCCTTTTAGAGGCTATGTTTATGTTCATATTTTATTTGATCTCTTTCTGGTTAATTTCTATTCAGTGATGATGAAAATGATTTATCTACCACAAAATGTATTGAGGGGCTACTTGGCCATAGCTATCATTGACGAACAGTGGTGGAAAGTACTGTACTTCAGTACAGTTTTGAGGTACTAGTACATTGCATGAGTATTTCCATGTTTTGTTACTTAATACTTGGACTCCTCTGCATTTCAGAGAAGGAAGGGAAATGTTTCAGCCTTTACCACACTATATTTATCTGAAAGCTGTAGTTAAATGTTGTTTTGAATGTGCTGCAAGGATGATATTTGTGTATTATTTATATAAAGTTTTTACACTGTATATCTTGTACGTAAAGTGTATATACTGTATATGCTGTACATAAACCTTATATATTGTATATTTGTATATAAAACTCAAACACTTTTTTGGCATATAAAGTTTGTATATTGTATGTTATGAATACATTATATTTATACATTTTATATGTAATCTATGGTCACAACAGACATTTTCCTCACAGCCAATCACCATCTACGATGTTTGAGCTGGTTCTTCAATACACTCCCCCTCGCTCTCTGATTGGCTGTTCATCCCACCTGAGGGACGACGGACCAGTTCCGGGATTCCGATGTCGGCCTAGCCAGCGAGCTAACTACGTTGCTAGTGGCTAACTCAAGGAGGACCTAAACGACCCACACCCTTCAGGCAAGAGAGCTTGCATGTTCGGCATTAGGTTCTCGTTTTATCTGCTTTTTATGGTGACTGTTTTGATGAAAGTAGCCACAGTTATCTTGTCAGTGAGAGCTGTTCGAGTAAGCGAGTGTAAAGCTGCCATGCTAGCCAGGTAACGGTAGCTAACTCTTTTAGCTGTGGTAAAGGACTCAACGCTGTCGCTAAAAACTTTCGAGGCTAGGTAAGAGCTAACTGATTATTAAGTATGATTGACGGTGAAATCTCTCATTATTGCTCGTTTGAAGTTAAACATCGCACGCGCTGTTAGCTAGTTTTAAAAAAGTGGCGTGTAATTTAAAGGGGTTCATATTATGACAGTGTTGTCTTGACTGAGTCCTAGCTCTGCCCTGGCCTGTTGTTTAACGCCTGGTTTGTTTGAACCTATGGCTCAAAGATGAAGTGATAGTTAGTCAAATGTTATAGATAAAAACAAGACATCAGCTAGAAAACTATCAGTGTGACACTATCTCTCCGAAAATTATTACATTTACTCGACCGGCCACTTAACTATGTAGCTTGCGAGCTGCAGAATGTTGCGGTGACATGACAGGCAGATCTCGACACGGAGATTTTAGGATTAACATCCATTATAGTCGAGGGGGATTTGTTGTGGGGCAGATGAGATGATTAACAACAGGCACACTGACACTCTGGCTTGTCCACAGCTCAATATTCGTTAGCACGGATGATTGCTGAAAAGAGGGGTGTGTCCAAACTATCAGATTACACTATTACTCCGGGTCCGTTTTCAGTGTTTTCACACACTGCACAGACTAGTTTTTCATTTGGAGATTAGAGAAATTAGCATGATGTATGTGTGTCACAGATCGTTGTCTCCATGATGTTTTGAATTTCCAGTATGGGAGTTGTTTCATTCGACCACCTGGGGGCATTGAGGTGACAGCTGTCTGTGTAACAACAGCAGGCTGTTGAACAACTTTGTGTATGAGTAATGGTGAGAAACACGAACTCACACAGAATAACGCAAGCTTTTCAGGGCTGTACGAAGTTGGTTAGTCAGTCTGATTGTTGTGAAATCAGAGTGAAACCTCTGCTTCTCCTGGATAACTCTGCCCTGTAACCTAACAAGGAAATTAATTTATGACTGTGAAGTTTAAACCTCCAAAATGAAACATGGACATCTTTATACATTGTATTATTGTAAATTATTGAGTTATCCATTCTGTAAATGTATGTAGAGCCACAATTATTTCATATCATCAGTTTATTTCTTATCATTTTAATCTGCATTATCAGAAAATACTGAAAAATTAAATGCCCATCACAATTTCCTGAAGCCCAAAATGACATTTTCAAATTTCCTTTATTGTCCAACCGAGATTTTTGAGAATATTGGTACAAATTTGAGCTGTAATATTTGCAACATTCACTGCTCTCTACTTATGTTTTGGCCACCACTGACAAGTTGTGTAATTGTTATTTATTTATTTATTTTTAACAGTGTCATCCAACAGTTTACCCACAGAGCCAGTGGGTGAAAGAAGACAGGTGGACAAAGAAAAAATAAGGACTAAAATGCATCAGACTACATAACATCACTGCTGCACATGGCTTTGTTTAAGAGATGCAAAATGGGAAAGGAGGTCTATCTGCAGAGAATCTGGAGGTGGGAGAGGTCTCTACATGCAGCCCCGGCCAAGTGCAGTGACACCTCGGTGACATACACGGGGCTTCTTTTTGGAATGAGTTGATTTTGTCCCCATATTAGAGCAAAGACTGAAGGCAGGGGTCCCAAAAGATCCAAGGGGCTCTGCTTGGCTATTTGAGTTATTTTACTTGTAAAGGCAAGGCTAGACATCATTTACATTTTTTTGTTTATTTTTAGCAGCTTTTTGAAAATAGATTCCAGCTGGACTTTTCTTTGATGCTGAGCCACTTCCCACAACTGGTTTAAAAGTGAATTTGTTTGTTTAGTTGTTTTCCCCTGCTGACTTAGTTTGAAACGCTGGAACTGTCCCTCCTGCCGCCACCCTCAGTTTCTTCAACCCACCCAGTGCCTCAATAAGCCCTCTCGGGACAATCACAAAAGTCATCAGCAGCTGCTACGCTCAATCCTCTGCCTGCTCTCCTCCATGTGCTTCTGCTCTCGGCGTGCTGGCTATTCACTTACTACCTCTTTAATTTTCTGGTCTTTTCATATTAATTTTCTCTGAGAGGCATAATCTGAACTCAAGCACAGCAACGAGGATTGATGGAAACACTGAGTTTCAGGAGTGGAGAGAAACCTAGGTTTTTCCATATGTAGTCGTATATGGGAGTGTCTGCACTTTTGTGTACATGCACAGCAGTGTCAGGGTTGCAGGTGCCAGGGAGCAGCTTAAGATTACATTTATTTATATTGTTGCACCAAATATAGTTACATTAAAGCCATACAAAAATATTTATAAATTACCTACACATATTTTTGTATCACATTTCTCTTGTATAGTTTTGCTTTTATATGCTTCTATTAAGATTATGCACACAAATTAAATATTTACAACAAACTACACACATGCAAGAATAGCTGTATATTGCTATATTAAAAAAAATCTACATTTTTGAGTGATTATTTTAGTTCTGGGAGGCATTTTGTGTGTCAACACAGGGAATCCCTCATGTTTCTATTGAGTTGCTGCTTTGCATAGTGTTGGTTTTCTTTTCCGGTCTGTAGTCATGGCCCCTCCTCCCAAACAAACACCATATTTGCTATTGTGACCAGTAAAGCACCTTTTACAGTAGGTAGACAGTAGATATCTACCTCTCTGTCTTCCCTCCCTCTCTCTCTGTCTCTGATGCCGGGCTTCAGTGGTGGGGGGGTTGGGGGAGGAGTAGGTGGCCCAGCTTCTGCTCCTCCCCGTCCATTTCGACCCAGCCGATATGTCCCGGTGTCTGCAGCTACCACTTTCCTTGTTGGATCCACCACCCTGTTTTTTTGCTTCACGTAAGTGTCTCTTTGGCCATCTCTCTCATATATGCAAACACACTGACATGTAATGCAAACATGGTGCCAAAGGCTCAATGTATTTACACAAACTTGTGTCACTAACTATTGTTTGTACTTAGCTGTGTGTCCTAAAGGCATATGTAAATATCCATGTGCTTTGTTACTATGTTTCCTCTTAAGGTGTCCTGTTGTTTTTTGTTGTTTGTTTAACCTTTATTTACAGTGCATACAGAAAGTAATCAGACCTCTCCAATTTTTTTCACATTTTGTTATGTTGCAGCCTTATACTGAAATACAAAATCCCCCATCAAACTACACTCAATATCCCATAATGACAAAGTGGAAAACTGAATTTTGCAAGTGTATTAAAAAGGAAAAATTTAAATATCACATTGACATAAGTATTCAGATCTTTTGCGAGTCCACTCAAGGTGTAGGTCCAATTCAACTGACTGGAAATAACCTGGAATGGTACTCACCTGTCTGTAACAGGTCTCACAGCTGACAATGCATATCAGAGCAAAAACCAAGCCAAGAGGTGGAGGTGGATATTTCAGTTTTTCCTTTTTAATAAATTTGCAAAAAAAATGTCTGTCTGTTTTAACTTTGTCATTATGAGTTATAGAGTGTAGATCGATTAGGGGAAATTATTATTATTTTAATTTTAAGGCTGCAAAATAACAAAATTTGAATGTACTGTATTAATAGAAAGTTTACTGAGCAGTGAGCTCCCGTTTTACAATCAGTCTTCTGTTCTGGCCACTGAACAGCTTCACTGGGGCTGTTTTAGGGCCAATTGTCTGGTACAATGACTTATCAACAGTTGTTGATGGAGCATGGAGTGTTGCTTGCTCATTTTTCCCAATACTGTTTCTGCCTTGAATAGAGAATATGTCAGGGTTTGATTGACTAGTAGTGAGGGCAATAATAAGTCAAACTGTAATTTTGTTTCCTTTCTTTTTCCTGCTGTCCAGGTGCCCGTGGTTGTCAGAGTATTTCTCCTCTGTCATTCCCATTTATAATGCCGTGATCTTCCTCTTCACCCTCGCCAACTTCTGCATGGCCACTTTCATGGACCCTGGAGTCTTCCCCAGAGGTAAACAGACGTGAAGAGTGTTGATGTGCAAGTCTTTTGTCTGGGGTTTCTAAGTAATCATGATGCATTGCTTTTTAGATAAATTTAGACTAAAGAGAAGACAAAGAATAATCAATATAGGCAAACTAGTGGCCATAATACATTAGAAAATGGAATAATTTACTGAATTGATACAATGCAGGGAGATGATCATGTGTTATGATGTGTCTGTTGTTTGTAGCGGAGGAGGATGAGGATAAAGAGGATGATTTCCGCGCTCCACTCTATAAGACAGTGGAGATCAAAGGCATCCAGGTGCGCATGAAATGGTGCTCAACCTGCCGCTTCTACCGCCCACCACGCTGCTCACACTGCTCAGTCTGCGACAACTGTGTGGAGGTATAAACACACACACACACACACACACACACACACTCACTCACACTGTTCCTATATTTTTCACTTATTGACAGAATATCAGAGGAATTTTGACTTGGCTTTGAAGTTATCAAAATATTAATATGACAAGTAATGTATCTAAGTCTCAGGAGCGCTAAACCTAAAACACAGCTTCCATGATTTGCATTACACATATCTGTATGTGTGTTATGAGTCTTCGTTTTAATAGCAAGTCCTAATTTCACAGTGAGCTTTTATAAACTCCTGTGTGACTTGACTGTTCAGCCTAGATCTGTCCTATTCTTAGGTTTCCATGTGTGAGCATGGGAGGTATAAATTGTGTGCTCATCTTATCATCATTATTTTCCTCTCTGTCATATATTCTGTCGTATATTCACTGCTGATTGCACCTCGGTGTCTTTTGACCATGTGCTCTCTCAGGATTTTGACCACCACTGTCCTTGGGTGAACAACTGCATTGGTCGGAGGAATTATCGCTATTTCTTCCTCTTCCTGCTTTCACTTACCACCCACATCATGGACGTATTTGGGTTTGGCTTGGTTTATGTCCTCCATCACCGCCAGCAGCTGGACACGCCACACGCTGCTGTTACGTATCCTTCACTAGGCACACTACAGTCCTAAAAATACGGAACACTTTAAGGAACTTTCTTTTCCCATTTTCATGTATTTATGTATGATTTGTTGTAATATCCTTGACCCTCTCCTCCCAGTATGGCTGTAATGTGTGTGGCTGGTCTGTTTTTTGTCCCAGTCGCTGGCCTGACTGGGTTCCACATAGTGCTGGTGGCCCGCGGCAGGACCACAAATGAACAGGTAATATAAAAGAGCTGATTGAGTGTATCACATCCTGCATCATCGATTTCATTAAGACAGTTCAGACAGATTTTTCTTTTCTGTATTTAATCATTAATGTTGGTGTCAGTGTGAACTGGATCATTTTTCTTTCACCCTCCCTCTCCCTGTAGGTGACAGGAAAGTTTCGGGGTGGCGTTAACCCTTTCACCAATGGCTGCTTGAGGAATATTTCACATGTGCTCTGCAGCTCCCAGGCGCCCAGGTCAGCCATCCCCGCTCATCCGCACTCATCTGTTTACTCCCATCCTTTAACACTCTGCTCCACAATTATCCCTTTTCCACTGCCTCTTTCTTTCCACTGCTCTCTCTCCCCATCCACTTTTCCACCCTTCTCTTTTATTGTTCTCACTTGTCTGTTCAGTTCATGGAATAAATGAGCACAAGCCTTCAGCGTCGGTGGCTTCTGGTGTTAGATTTAGTTTGTCACTACAGCAACACACTGTTGTTTAATGCTTGCTCATTTTAATTGGGATTTGATTGAGTGAGTATTTTCCTTTCACAGATATATGGGCCGGTGGCGGAGCCCTCAATCCGTGGAAATACAGCCACCATTTCTTAGACCGCCTCTTACTGAGGCCCAGCTAGAAGCCAAGGTCCTGGACAATGGCATCCAGAATGATCGACACAGCACCAGGGTGAGTGGTAGTTAATCCCACAGACACCCAGAAGAAAACAAGCAATCTGCACATAGAGGTTTTGGATGAAAGAACTCCACAAAGTCTCATGCATGTTATTCAGAAATTATTGTTGTACACGTTTGATTACATATATTGGGGTTTTTTTTGTTTTGTTTTTTTTGTTTTTTGAATGAATTTCAAAATGTTTGTGGTTAACAGATGAACTATGAGTATTAACTATGAGTGTATAATACAGAAAACCCTGCCTTATATGTTTGCCAAAACACAATTGTTTGTGAAATAGGATTTTATAACCCCAGAAAGTTATAATGACAATGAGCATCCTCCATCACAGCATGTGCACGTTAAACAGTAGAATGATTGTTATTATCCATAGCAATTAATGTTTTCTTTATTGACTGGAATGTCTTTTCATGACTTTTCTGTGTGTCTTTTCCAGTCCAAGAGCAGTCTAGATCAGATGGAGAGCCAGTCCGCTGATGCAGAGCCTCCACCGCCTCCAAAGCCGGAGCTGCGATACCCTGGCCTGCCCCGCGCTGACACAGAGGGTGAGACGTACACAAATACAAATACATAGTGAATAACAAGGAAACCTAGATAGTTGCAGGTATATTACCTGACATGTAGGCCCAAATACTCGAAGTGTTTCAGCTCTTATGTATACAGACGAGTGTCTGTTTTCTAATGACAAACACACCTTGTTCACATGTCACTATTGCTTTCTTGTCTCTCAGAGAGCAGTTTGTTAACTGAAGCTCCACCTACGCCATCAATGTACAAGTACCGACCAGCCTACAACAGCCCAGGAAGGAACCACACTGCCCTCACACACCCCAACAAGGTACATGTCAGTTTACACTTCCACAGACCTCAAGGTAGTAGGTATAAACTATTAACATAACATTATGTAGGTACTGCCTATTAATCATATTAAAGGAACAATCAGCTGAAAGTGGAAGTTAAGCACATGTCTTTGCCTGATTGGAAACAAAGAAGCATATAAGTCATGTAAATCTAAGTATATTCTTTTGCACACAACCTTGTTGATTTTTACAATGCAAACTTTTTTTTTTTTTGTGGATGTCCGTATCCGTATTGTTAATCACACACAAGAAGTAAAGAGAACAGAACGAGCAGTATCCCATAGATTACTGTAACAGATGGTCTGGTGGCTGTTATGCCCTCCCCTTCTAATTTCCTTTGTGGTTAATACCATGCCCCTCTTTTTTGTTTTTACTTTAAATTGATCATTCAGTGGCCATCGGTCGATCAGTAAGTCTCAGCTAGTGTCATCTGTGTGTGTATCCCTTTGGCTGTCTCTGTGTGTTTTGAGTGAATCTATCCTTTCCCCTGAGACTGCATTGACTGGAATGTGTAGTCCATGTACTGTATGTATTTGTATTTCCATTTATATGTTGATACACACAGTCTTTGACATGTAGTGTCAGTGCTTGTTCAAGCCAGTCAATGTTTCCAATCCAGTAGTGTGATGATGGAGTAGAGCACCGGTCAAGCATCCAATTTCTCCCTACCACTGTTTCTTTTTTTTCTGGTAGAATTTATAGAAAACTGGGTGACACTTTATTTTAAGTACCCCTATTTAGCTTTTATAAGCAGTATACAAACAATTGATGAAGATGTTTTTAATTGATAACTACAATACAATAAAATGAACACACTATGATGTAGTTGTCAACAGATATAAGTGTTTATTAATGCATTTGTTTACAACTATACCTCCTCCTGTGGGCACCCATTAGTCCAGGCTGCTGTATGAACAGATTTGTCAACTTAGTGATAGAATAACATAGTTGAAATAATATACAATAGCATACATTAATAAACACTTTAAAATGTCCATATAACTGCTTAAAACTACACTGTAATGTGTTATAAACCTTTTTCTGAATTGTTTATACTGCTTATAAACGCTGATTACCGAGACAAAAAGTAAAGTGTTAAAAAATGGTTTTATTTGTGCTATGTTATCTATTCCTGAGGTAACATGGTAATGTTCATCTTTCTGTCCCCCTTCTTCACTCTCGGCTTCATTACACTTTTCCTTACCCTCTCCCCTGCTCTACCTATGGTCTGTTTCTCCTCCTCTCTCCTCTCCTCAGATGATTCGTGGGGAGAGTCTTGACTCTCCATCTCCCTCCATCCTCCAGTCCAGCCGTCAGCCTAGCTATCGCTCGGAGCCGAGCAGCCTGGATGGGGCGACGGTGGTGGGGGGAGGTGTAGGGGTGCGCAGAGGGGGAGGGGAGAGGGGTGAGGGCCCCGGAGGCCCTGGCGGGATTGCTGGGGTGGTGTCAGGGGGCATGTCAGGTTACTCCCTGACTGGGCGCTCCTACACCTCCTACCCATCCTCTCTCGTTCTGTCTGCTGGTGGCTCACGCTCCTCCAGCCTGCGCTCGGCGCACACAGCACATAACCCGCTGGCCACGCTCCAATCAGAAGGCACCACAGACACCAGCTACAAAAGCCTGGCCAATCAGACGCCTCGGAATGGCAGCCTGTCCTATGACAGTCTGCTGACACCATCCGAGAGCCCAGAGTTCGAGTCAGCCGCCCACGAGCTGTCGCCACAGAAGCCTCATGCTCCGTTTCCCTCGGCGACTATAAGGGGCCAGCATGAGGTGGTGTCACCCAGTACCCCACTGCAGGGCTACATGTCGCCCTTCCTCTCAGCTCAGATCGCCCAGCAGAGGGAGGGGCAGCTGCTCCAGGGCTCTGCCACTTTCTCCTCCCCCCACAGGGCCTACCTGCGTGCCGTCAGCCCACCCCCTCCCTCCTCCACTGGGCCTCCTGAGACCCACCACCTGCTCCACCATAACCAGGACGCCTCTTTCCGAGGCCCCCGTAACCTTTCCTCCTCATCCTCATCCCCTGGGGCACGCTCACTAGAGCCCCCTGTCTCCCCACCACCTCGTGGCCTGTCCCTTGGCAAGTCCCACTCTTACACTGGGGAGGCAGGACCTCAGCACAAGCCTCGACCTGCAGGAGGAGGTGCTGTGCTGGGAGGGGGAGGAGCCGGAGGAGGGCAACAGGCTCCACAGTGAGTAGTGATCCGTCGCCAGATCCGTCAGCCTGCTGCTCTTCCTCCTCCTTTTCCTCCTAATCCTCCTCTTCTTCCTCCCTGGTTTGTGTCAGCCCTCCTCTTCCTCTCTGATCTGTGTGAGTCTTCCTTTTCCTCCTCCACGGTTTACAGTCTGTCTTTGCTTGTTTAGTGCTTAACAGTTAGGTGTGTGAAGGAAAGTTTTATTGGTTCAGGTGTTGGTATGTGTGGATTAGTGTTACAGGCATGCCAGTATGTGTTTAGCTCTGTGAAAGCATGTTTAACCACGCTGCTATTCTCCCCTGTAGCCTTTCCTGTCCTTGTCCTGTTACTCACTCACTATAGTTACCAAATGCCTTACACAATCACTGGTAGAGAAACCTTTTGCCATTTGCGCTTGTTTGTTGTTTGTTATTTTTGAAGTAGAACCACTCACCTCCACATCCCTTTTCTCTCCTGTCCTCATCCCTAATATGCCTCCCCATACACTCCTCCCCTCCCCTTCCTGATGGCTGTCCAATCAGATCCACCTCTCGCCCAGTCTTGGCCAATCACACCATATCCAAACCAGGGGGCGGGGTGAAGAAGGTGACTGGCGTCGGGGGGACCACTTACGAGATATCGGTTTGAGTGACAGACGTCCTTCAAGGTCTATCACAAGGAGGGGGAAAAAGACACTGGACTACTTCCACTAGTCTCTTCATTGAGCTGGATATTATCCACGACTGCAGGCTCCTCAAAAATGACGGTTTTCCGCTGCAACTGACTGAGGGAGCAATCCTGTCTGGTACTCACTTTGTTATCTTTGTAATGCCACTGGCCAGTCTTCTCTGCCAGCCTTTCAGATTTGAACAAAGAGGAACTGGGGACACTGGTTCATTTTTCACAGGATCAAGTTGTGTCCATTTAGTCACTTTGTGAGCCATAGACTGATGGGACTGTATCATCACGACTGGGTACAGATATGTCTATAGAACATACATAGCTACTCAATGATTTGCTGTTTTACTTTGGTACATTAGCACAGTACAGAGTACTGACAGCGGTGTCCGACACTTAAGGAAAGGATGGCCTTTATCCAGTGGATGTAAAGAGGGAAGGATTTAGGACTGTTGACCGATAGAAACGTCTTCTTTTCCACTGTCTGAACGGACCACACAGCCTGTTTATTGATAAGAGTCGTGGAGAAAAGAGTCCAACCTGTAAACACAGTATCATTTTAGTTTTATAAATCTTTTTTTAAATATTGTTTTATATACATGTATAAAATCTTACAGATTGTTATTGGGTCAAATTGTCAGGTATTGAAGATGACTATTGATGAGGGTGGCAGATGTACTGTGTGTAATTATTCATGAAAGCGATTTTCAAATCAGTTGCCTGTTTATATTTGATGGCTGCATCAGCCGCTCATGAGCTCTTGCTGGAATTGTCATCGTCCAAAGAGAATGATGATCCTTTGGTGGACAGCTGAAGTGGCAAATCATTGAGCCTAATTTTTGAAAGCCACAAAGAAATTCTGAATCACGATTGCAGCACAAGCATCTTTGTGGAATGTACGCTTGTAATGTTTATGCTAGAGACATTATGCAAAATCTGTTTGTAGCTTTAAGGTCATTGTATGTCTTTTTGGTGGTTTTTTTTGTTTGTTTTTTTCTTCTTCTTTTCTGTAATGTTTTGTCTGTCAGTCAGTCGAGATGCTAGCATAACCTTGTACCTTTAACGGATGGCCAGCCAAATAGGGGCAGCGAGGGAAGGGCTTATTTATTTCACCAGACAAGACAACCTTAAAGTTCTGGACACATTTTCAAACCAGTCTCTACCAGTTTGCTTTTTTTTTCATTCTTTTTTTGAGAGGAGGTATGAATATTTTTTCTGAAAAAAAGTTTACAAATGAAATTGTAAATGCAATATGCCACTGAGTAGATTTTTAAGGAGGGACTGGTTTGCAACTGGAGACTGTGTTGATTGTTGTTTTGCCTTGAGACCATTCATAGTGAAGCAAGCAGATTTTTATTTTTTTCTATTTTTTTTACACTTTTCTGAGAAAAAAATGATTTTTTTTTGATTGACTTGCTAATTTTAAAAAAATTACTCTGTAAAGGTACCGTTCTTCTTCTTTTTTTTCCTACAGCCATGTTGAGAAAGGAAAATTAACAGGAAGGGAGGTGTGTGTGCGAGTTTGTCTTTCGGGATTGGGCATTACAGTAAAGGATGTATTTAATTTTATTTTTTCTGTCAAGACCCACAGCGGTGTTTGCAGCAGAATGTCAAAGCTGGCTTAAAGTAGCACATCTTTGGGGGAAAGTACACGCTTGAAGCACACAAGTAACATTGTTCAACCCTCCCAGGCTATGTCTTCAGTGTGCATGTGATTTTTGTTTGTCGTGCTGAATGCTTCACTGGCGTGCATACTTGTGAGAATATTGTCAAATGCCTACCTGGTTCATGTGTGGGTGGTAACAAGAAAAGAAACATCACTAATGGCACAAGCCGCCATCGTAAAGAGATAAAAAAGAACCTGTGTTACTTTTCTTCCTTGTCTGGCCAAGGATGGTGGCCGTTGAACAATTCGACACCATGTGAGTATAGTAAGTTTACTTCTATGTGAGATAAAATATCGCTATTGTGGGCTGTGATGAACGGAACGAGTTTCACAAATATCTGTAATGAGTACATTAAAGACATTTCCAAAATGGCCTTATCAAGAATTTTTAAAAAGATGTCTTATCAGAATAAAAAGGTCAAACTGATGAAAAAACTGAATGTGTCATGAATCTTAACTGTTCAGTCATTTTTATTTCAGTTTTACCACTCACCTTTTTTTAAATATGAAACATCAGTAAACACTCTAGTTGCAAAATACAGACAGCAAAAGTTTACACGGAGTGATGAGATGTTGCTAAAAGTAGCCGAAAAAACAAAAAACAATCATTACAAAAAAGGCATTTGTTCTTAAATAACTTAAGGCCTGTTATAAAATGTCCCCAAATCATTGCTTGAGCTTTTGCATGGCTGCAATCAAACACACTACATCATACCCAGTCGGACCAGGGAAATGTGGTCCAGCTTCTTTGGATATTTATTTGTCACAGTAAAGACTTAATGTAGAGATGACCTCTAGTAGTGGTTGAACCTATTTTCTTCTTTCCATTCCATAATATTTTGGACTTTAGCAATAATGTAAGGCGTGGCAATGTTGGGGGGGTGGGGGTGGGAAGGCAAGACTCCATGCAATCCCCCCTCTGAATCATCCTCTTCACCTCACTGGTCCTTCTTGCTCTCTGTGGGCTGCTCTGGGGTTTTGGCATCAGCATGGAGCTCGTCACTGCCCTCACCTGGCTGAGTGCCGTTGTGCTCCTCTCCCTTCAAACCACGACCTTTGTTCAGTTTCTTGGCTTTCTGGAAGAGCTCGTTGAGGTTAAACTCTCGGATGATGTTCTCCTAGGGATGAATAAGCTTCATATTAGAATGACTGTGGGCATGTGTAAGCAAGCAGCACCTGCTCAGTGTGTACTCTGTGTGTTTGCTACAAACAGAATAGACACACCTCATTGAAGGTCCAAGATACCGCTCTCCCTTTATTGTCCACCATTGGACGTCTCATAATTTCCCGCCCTCCTTGAAAAAGCAGCAGTGAGGGCAGCTGCTTGGCCAGAGGGGAAGTACTAACCCTGTACCTGTTCAGAAATAAGTCATGGAGCAGTCATTACCTGTGCTTAGAGAATCTATCAACATAAGGAATGTATGGAAATAATAAACAAACAATATTGTTGCATTAAAACTACTCCAGCTCACCTCTCTGAAACCTCTCCATAGCGTCCAATATCCACCTTCCCAAACCTGAGTCCAGCACAGTTGTACCTACAGCACATAGGGGGGAACATGCATGAGACGTTAAGGCCTCAAGTCATCATTGCAGTTTATTTTTTGAGAGCATTTGACTTACTTTCTCCTGCAGAACTGAAACATAGCAGTTTAATCCAACAATGTCAGTGTTATTACAGATTACAAACATTAAATGCACCTGACAAACAATTTACCGCTTATTTTGATTAAAATCTGAACTGACAGAAGTACAGTAAGCCTCATGAAAGGGAGCTCATTCGATCATAACTGTTTCAATAACAATGGCCAATAAACTTCAGTGGTTGCAGCTGAGAAACTGACTGAAACATAGTAAACCTCAGTATCTTGATTACTGGGAGGCACATTATTTACAGAGCATTGAATCTGTTGCATGAGGGGGAGAGAGTGAAAGTGAGGTGGTGTCTCACTTGAGAGAAAGGTCAGCAAAGATGGGAGCGAAGGACTGGCAGTCAGAGGACCAGTTGGCGTAAAATTCAACAATCCAGGTGACGCGACTGTCCCTCTGCAGCTCCTCCTAATGACTCAACACAAAATTAGATTAGAACAGATTACGCAGGTGTAGATCACCTGCTCACCTCCAGCAATGGGGTATCTAATATTTTGATATTTCTAATTTCAAATGTCTGATATTCAATTATAGTATTACAATATTAACTGATTTACCGTCAGTATAATGGGCATTCCAGTGGTGGAAAGTAAGTACATGTAAGTGCTGTATTTGAGAACAGTTATGAGGTAACTAACCACAACCTTTCACAGAGAAATGCCGTATCTTCTTATCTTATCTTTTTACTCTGCTGCCTTTGAATGCTGTAGTTACTTCTCACATTAAGTTTTTAAGATTAAGATTTTGTTAATATAACAGTTTCCAACTATTTTGAGTTGTGACAAATTATAAAATCAACGACATCTTCTTACAGCATAAAGATTACAAGCATTTAAACAACGGAAGTTTTTCATAGTCTGTAGTGTGAGACTCACATCTATGGTCTTGTCACTGAAGTACTTGATGTACTCTGGGCCCATGTAGAGAGGCGGCTTACAGGTCATGACGAATGCTAGAGACAAGGCACAGTTAAACAGACTGATATGAGGTGGAAGAGGTTTCCAGTGGAACAAGCGAAAACAATGGCTAAATATAAACTTTATATTCTCTGAAGCTGTGTGGATCTTAGATTAGGTTCATTAATATACAATCAAACCCTAAAAGCATTGTTTGACCTGGAATCAAAGCTCCTTTAAGCTGTAGAAGTGATGTTTTGACAAAGTCAAGTGTTGGGTTGTAACATCAGTAATAAAACAGCAGCTCCAGTTGCATTTTGCAGGGACCTCTCTTTTGTATTCACTGTAATCCATTTCCCCAATTTTTTGTTTTAATGTATTGTAATTGTCCATATGTATCGTTGCCCATGAAAATCAAATTTAGTCGAGGGTGGGGCAGTATTTGTAACAAAGGTTATGGAGCCACTGACCGACACACAATGCGAGGTAGAGGATGCCGAGCCGAATGTCCAGCCTGAAGAAGAGGATGGTGTTGGCCACTTTACTGAACAGGAATAAGTTGCCTATGTGCTGCTCCAGTGTGACTGAGAAAGGGAGAGAAGAAGAAAAAAGGAGGAACAATGAATGAACCAGATGAATAATCTTCAGTCTGTTGCTACAAGGTCAGAGGAAGGCCAGATAACACTGCAACTGCAATGTATACACAACAGAGCAAGGTTTTTTTATTATAGTACTTCCTGGATGTGACACAAGAATTTAAAACAGTTATCATAAGGCCATAAATTCCTATTTGGCTATAGTTTAACAGTTACACATTACAGGACACAAATACCATGTGTCCTTGCTGTTGGATATGATGTGGCACAAAGTGGTGGGGGAGTTTTCTTTCTGTGCAAACACTATGGAATAAAGTTCTTGGGAGATACATTATGTGTAGGTTACCGGCTACTAAACCGAGCATCACTGACTTGTTGCAGCGGGCCACTTTAATGATGAGGCTGTTGATAGTGTAAACAAACATTTGCCATGTTATGACATTAGTTGGTTTACACATAAATAAGTAGGACTGTGTGTGTGTGTGTGTGTGTGTGTGTGTGTGTGTGTGTGTGTGTGTGTGTGTGTGTGTGTAAGGAGGTGGGGTAGGGGCATTAACCTCCCACAAAGCCTCAGGGCAAAAATTTGTTGTTGGGGCCCTATTGACCCCCTACTGACTAGTTCATTAATTACATTAACTGATAAATCAGCAAAAAGTGGGATAACTGGATAAATGATTAATTGTTAAATATTTTTTAAGCATTATATAATATTATATAATGGCTTCTCAAGTATAAATATTTACTAGTTGCTAGTTTTCCCAGTCCCTGTTTTTTATTGTAAACTCCTAAACACCTTTAATTTTTGACTTTTGGTCAGACAAATTTATCTGACAATGTTAATTTGGGCTTCAAGGAAAAATTGCCATTTCTCACTATTTTCTGACATTTGTACACTGATCAATCAAATGATTATTGAATAAAACAACTGTCAGACATACTAATAATGAAACAGTTGGTTGCAGACTTACAGTTCTTTAATGAATAATGACTAGGCCTACTAATAATGAAATAATGAAAACTAATAATGATGATAATGATAATGTAATAAATGGAGTCTTAGTTACTTGACAAACAGAAAGAATTCAAGCAGTTTGATACAATGCAACTTTACAATAAATGAGCACAGTATTAATCAATACAATTAAGGTCTTAAAACCAGATTTTGGTGCAGGGTCCCTCTTCAAGAGGGGCCACAAGATGAGGGTGGAGGACCCAGTCATAGTAGATATTCTACTTCAGTGGTGGAAATTCTCAGACTTTAGCTTTTCATCAAATTTGTCTAAACTGTAGTCATGGGTTCTGCCTGAGGGTCTTAAGGGGTGGGGTGGGTTTACTTACTGGCTCTCCTGTTCTTCATCATCACTATTGCACTGAGAAACATGAGAATCTCCAGTTCTCTCTGTAAAACAAAAAACATGCAACAACTTTGTGATAAGTGAGTGAACCATTTTACAGCAGCCGACTGAAGCCCACCATATTTAGCAGCACTGCAGCGCGACACTATCCCAGCGTGCTCACCCCCAGTCAAAGTCGCAGGAGTTGCCGTCCTCCCTCTGGCTCGCCAGGTGCTCGCACAGACCGGGAGCTTTTCGCACCACCAGGAAGGCGACGGTCATGAAGAGCGAGGTGATATATACGGTTTCAGCAGCCATTTGTAAATCTGAGGGAAGTGGTACAAAGAAAGTACAGAGTCCTGTGATCAGACCCATGTTGGCACATACGACAGTCAACACCACGGGTGTGAGAGGAGAAATGACAGCTGAAGGAGCTGAGTGGTGCTACTGGGTTGAACTGCGCCTGCGCCAAACGAAACGATTTCGACACCGCCATTTGCCGTAGATTTGATACACACACACACACACACACACACACACACACACACACACACACACACACACACACACACACACACACAACACACACACACACACATACTTGATTATTACAGGAGCAGTCAGAGCCTCTCCTGTGTGTGCCTTGTGAGTTTGGACAGGAAAATGCCAATGTGTTTATGCAGAACAACGGCTTCAAGTCAACTTTTGGATGGGTTTGAGAGGTCATGGAGATATAGTCATTAAGTCAAGGTATATACAGGCCTGCTGGAAAGGGAGAAAACAACTGAGGATGGATTACTGAGCAGAGTACTGGGCATATGAACAGGAGCCCAAGAGGAGACAGCGGGCCCCTGGGCTTCACCTCTAAAATGTCACTGAAAGAAACAGAGACTGACCACAAAGAGTAGCAAAAAAGAAATTAAAAACCCAGAGAGACACTAATGACCACAAAGAGTTGCAAAATGACTGAAAATACAGTTCAAAACCAGAAAAACATACAAAATAACCATACTGAGAACATACAATGCAGAAAGAGGCACAAAATACATGTAACAGAAAATTTTCTACAGTAGATGCAAAACAAGTAAAAACATATAAACAAATAAATCATAAAAAACATAGAAATATGTAATAAGCTTTCAAAACCAGAAAAAAGGGCAGTGCAAGAGTGACAACAGCATTGAAATCGGTAGATAAGGGAAGACATTAAATTGAGAATAGAGTGGGAGGTGTGAAAAATGAGGAAGGAAAAGACAGAGTAATGATTGCCAAGATTAAAAATAGGACACAGCAATCTGAAACATGGGAGGGGGGAAGCATCCAACTACTCTTTGTGAATATTGTGAGGTATAGAGCATTTTATTTTAGCTGCACAAAATATTTTGAAAATGACATAATGGAAGAAATGGAAAGACCAGGCGCTAAGAGGAGCAAGATCACAGAGTATACTGGATTATGGGGACAGTGGGAGTTGTTTAGTCATCTAATTCAACAGGACTAATGGGAAAATCTGACAAACTGGACACTGTAAGAGTTAATTACCACCAGAAGGTGGCAGCAGTGCAGCACCGAAGAGGCCGGCCGCCATTAAACCGCGAAGAAGAAGAAGTTGATTTGGCGGTTATTGCAAAACGTAAACAGAGGAAGCTAAAAATGGAGGAGAGCGACGTAGCAACACAAAAGGAGTCTCCTTTTGTAGATAACACTTGTGGCGGAGACTCCGCGTGAAAAGCCGCCTAATGAAGCCACGGGAGAGGTTTTCCTCACAGATGTCAAACCCTGGGTCAGTTCATAAGCCGTCCGAGGAGAGCGGAGCTCGGTATAACAGGCTGAAGCTCTTCGACAAAGTGATGCAGAAGAGCCTGGAGAGTTCATCGACCATGCTAGGTACCGTGACTTCTGTGTTTGTAAGACAAGACTGTCTCGAAACGACGGTGAAACCCGGGTATGCAGTAGTCCCAGTTTGTGGCAGCAAAAGGTTTCTTCTGCCTTGCATTTGTTTTGGGCAACAACAAATGATCATTTTCATTATCATCGCATCTCTCTCTTAATATATGCTTGTTTTGCCCAGT